GATTGCATTGTTTCGCCACTAGGTGGAGACAAGTGACTGTTAAAAATGTGTTTGTCATTGAATCATTCATTCAAGAGATTCGTTCAAAAACGCTGATTCATGCAGTAACGAGTCACTGATTCATTCATTCAAGAGATTTGTTCAAAAACGTTGATTCATCCTGTAACGAGTCACTGATTCATTCATTCAAGAGATTTGTTCAAAAACGCTGATTCATCCTGTAACGAGTCACTGATTCATTCATTCAAGAGGTTCGATCAAAAACGCTGATTCATCCAGTAATGAGTCACTGATTCATTCATTCAAGAGATTCGATCAAAAACGCTGATTCATCCTGTAACGAGTCACTGATTCATTCATTCAAGAGATTTGTTCAAAAACGCTGATTCATCCAGTAACGACTCACTGATTCATTCATTCAAGAGATTTGTTAAAAAAACGCTGATTCATCCAGTAACGAGTTATTCCCTGCGTCTCAATGTTCATACTATCCGTCCTAAATAGTATGTGAGATTAGAATAAGTGTGTCCCAAAGCATGAAAAGAGTATGCCAAAAGTCCATGGATGGTCTACTATTTCATGTCGATTTTTGAAGTGTGGATCCGTGCACACTCTAATGGCTGATATTGCCCATAATCCATTGCGCTTTGGTGAAGGATTCTGTCCAGAACTACAAACATGAATAAAATGCGTTAAAAAAAACCTACAAATATGGTGGATGTGCGCGACCGGCGGTTAGGTAGAGAGGCTTAGAAAAAGGGGTTTGAGTTACTAATAATCAACATTTAACCTGGTTAAAAATATATTTATTTTATGTTATCTTTGTTATATTTCATTTGCAACAGTAATGTAAACTTTTATAAACATCAGTTCGGTCATTAACTTTTAAATGCATCATTATGCATAAAATATGAGCAGATTTCTCAGTGTGAAAGACCCGCGGCTGGCAGATCACGAGCTACTTTTCTCTCCAGTACGGTAGGAAGGTAAATTAAATGCAATGTGGAGGATGTTAACTGTGACGAGATGATTGACGGGTCAGTTTACAGTGACCGTGTGCGTGTAATTATGAGACAGAGCGTCCGTTAAAGACGCAGTTGTGTGACGTGATAGTTTGTCCCAAAGCTTGCCTGCTCTTCTACTACACACTCAAAAGTGTGCACTTTTTCTTCACCAAAAGAGTACATACTTTAAGGGTGTAGTATAAGTAGGCACATTGAGACGCAGCAATTGAATCATTCATTCAAGAGATTCGTTCAAAAACACTGATTCATCCAGTAATGAGTCATTGAATCATTCATTCAAACCATTTTTCATAATTTTAATATTAAAAATGGGTGTATTCTATATATTATATTTTAAATACATGTATATTAAAATGTTTAATAATTCATTCAAATGAACTAAACCCTTTTAAATAGACTGCAGCAATAATATTTTGTCACATTATTTTGTTTAGTTCCTAATCGTGATCTCATATATGTGACCCTGGAGCACAAAACCAGTCATAAGGGTCAATTTTTTTTAAAATTTAGATTTATGCATCATCTGAAAGCTGAATAAATAAGCTTTGCGTTGATGTATGGTTTGTTAGGATCGGACAATATTTGAAAATCTGGAATCTGAGGGTGCAAAAAATCTAAATATTGAGAAAATCATCTTTAAAGTTGTTCAAATGAAGTTCTTAGCAATGCATATTACTAATCAAACATTAAGTTTTGATATATTTACGGTAGGAAATGTACTAAATATCTTCATGGAACATGATCTTTACTTAATATCCTAATGATTTTTGGCATAAAAGAGAAATGTATAATTGTGACCCATACAATGTATTGTTGGCTATTGCTACAAATATCCCCCAGCGACTCAACACTGCTTTTGTGCTCCAGGGACACATTTTAGACAAGAGAAAAGTATGCAGAATGGTGCAGCTGTAGTTTGACTCATGTGGATGTGTTCCAGGAGAAGAGCGAGTTCTACGGTCATCACGCGAAGGTGGTCTGTCTGTCCTGGTCACCTGATAACGAGCACTTCGCCACCGGCGGCATGGACATGATGCTCTATGTGTGGACCGTCAGCGATCCTGACAAGAGGATCAAAATCCCAGGTAATGACCGCGAGCATCTCTGCACGCCTCAGTGAGAACCGCTCCTGATCTGTGTGTGTGTGTGTGTGTGTGTCTGCAGACGCCCACCGGCTGCATCACGTCAGCGGTCTGACCTGGCTCAACACAAACACACTCGTCACCACGTCCCACGATGCCTGCGTCAAACAGTGGACTCTCAGAATCTAAACCCAGCAGGAACGCTCTCGCTGTCTTTCTCTTGCTCTTCCTCGGTTTTCTCTCGCTTCTCTCCACTGAAAACTGTGTGGAAAGACAGGCATCGAGCACTTGACCTTCCACACAGACACAGACACAGACACAGACACACACACACACACATATGTGACCAGAATCTCTGTCATGTGGCATTCCAGACGCAGGGGTCAGAGTTCACGAGGTGTTCCTGAGCCCTGATTGGCCGTGAGCTACTCTTCCTTCTTGAGGAGGGACATTAGGGAGCAATTGCAGAACTGTGTGTGTGTGTGTGTGTGTGACAGTATTTTGCTCTCTTGTAACCCTCACGTGATGTTTATTTACTATGTTTTTGATTGGATGTCTCTGGTTCGTTTTTTTCATTGGGTGGATGTGATACATAATTATATTAATAATGATAATAAAACACTTTTTATGCACTTTCTTCTCCTGTCCGGTTTCTTACAACTGATTCACAAATACAGGTGAACCTGAGAAAAACACGCACCATTTCAGCTGCAAATACAGAAAACACACTACACTGCAAGAAATGATGTTCTTGCTCGGTACTTTTGTCTTGTTCTCCAGCACAATTCTTAAATCAAGACACTTGACAAGTAAAATAACTTCTGAAAAGTGTATCAAAATTGAAGTGTATCAATATTTGCATTTCCAGACTTTTGCACCGGTTTAGTTTTTTTATAATCGAAAATTAAGAATTTGAATGAAAATAAACATAAGAACGAGGTGTGTTTTCATGGTTTAGTGATTGTCAAACATGGTGCACAATGGAGGTTATAAGTTTTGGGTTTCTTCTCACGATATTCTTAGCACTGTATTACATAGCCTCGAGGATCTTTCCTTCTGTTCTCTCTTTCCTTTCTTCCATCTCTGACTGCAGTCTCATTTCTGTTTTCTGAAAAAGTAAATTATAAATGTCAACAATAAAATTACCAGTGAAAGTCAACTTATTTAATGAATTTGGGTATAATTACTAAAGGTTAAAGGTTGGCCCACTTTACCTGAATTCCTCTGACCCACTTTATCTGACACATTCAGCCAAAGTGGGCCAGCAATATTTAAACGCCTTACAAGAAAACTAAATTTTGCATTTCATTCCCTGTTGATGGCAGTATTGAATAAAACAGCAACTGTCACAATAATGTTTACATTTAATAAGCAACCTTATAATTTACAAATAAAAATCCTATGTCTACCTTTCACCATGACACTCCTTTGAGGCGAGGCCACACCCACCAGTGTCATATTACATCCACCGAAACCATTTTATCATTTCGAGAAATGGTGTCCCTTTAATTAAGAACCATTGTTATGTTCGGAAAGTGTAAACCCATTAAGCACAGTACAATCAAATGTAAACGGCCCACTTTATTCCAGTTAAGCCGGGCATACACTGTGTGATTTTCGGCCGATTTTGAGCCGAATTCTGACTCGTGCAACTCGATGAGTCTCTCCCGACTGAATTTCTGATCGCACCGTTGAAGCAGAGCTACGAACCGACTGCCCTAAACTCAGTGCTTTTCCCCTCACTGTTCCTGCGTGAAATAGAACTTTAATCTTTAATACAGCAAGAAAGAAAACGGAAAAAAGGGAGATCTTTTGATAAAATAATGTTATTATAACGGGAAATGTGGACCATTGTCCATCATGTTGCAATTTTTTTCATATTCAAAATTACATTTTGAATATGGATATTTTTCTTACAAAAACGCATGGATTCGCTACAGAAGGCCTTTGTTCACCCCCCAGAGCCGTGTGAGACACTTTGTTTTATGGATGGGCGCTTTTTATTTCACTTCTTTTGGACTGATGCATGCAACACCCGCTGACTGCCATGAAACCGCTTGAAATATCAAAGACAATTTTTTTTATAAAACCCCGACTGGATTCGTCTGAAAGAAGAAAGTCATATACACCTAGGATGCCTCGGGGGTGAGTAAAACACAGCCTAATTTTCATTTTTGGGTGAACTAACCCTTTAAACTCCAGTCAATTCATTACGCTACAGAAAGTGAAAGTAAAAACTGACCGAGCTTTCGGCGTCAGACGCTGCATTAACGGCACATATTCTCTCAGAGGAGACAAGAGATACTGGGTATTGTCTTATGGCTGATATGAAAAAAGTCTCTTATGGCTGATATGCATATAGTGAAAAAACAACAACAACAACAGTGTGAGCACGTAAATCGTGAGCTTTGACTTTACATCGCATGCGCTCTGCTCTCACAACTTGATGGAATCGCACCGTGCATGCCCGGCCTTACAGACGCTGGTGTAGAGCGGCCTCGGTGACGTCAGCGTGACGCAAATTCATCTGCAACAGAACTAAAGAGCGCTGAAACACTGATTAACATTTTCTAACCGATTTTGTTCTTATATTAGAGTTGAAGGTTTTTCCAGAGAGGATTCTGGATTTCTCTTTTCATCGCTCCATAAATCAGAAAACACTGTCAACAGACGGAAAACAAACACATTTTCACCATGTTTTTAGGAGTGAAATGTTGTATAAATCAGTGTGAATGATATAAGAAAAACCCTTCAGAATATAGAGAGGAATAAAACTGTGAAGTTCAGTGTTTGTAAGAAAAAAAAACTCTTTAAAGATTGAAATCTACAGACACAAACAGATAAAGTTCAATAAAATGAACAGATGTGTTTCGGATGTTTTCTGTGCACTAGACTGAAAGAAGAGACATGATATGAAGCAGAACAGACTGAAATCTCTAGATTCATCAGTGCATTAAACACTGTTTCAGACTGTAGTGTCTCAAATTAATAAGTCAAATTGAAAAAACTGAGCATGATTCGAGATGTTCCAAAGAGTGGAGCATAATCACTGTCAATTATTAACTTGCATTAAATTAGTCAATATTTCTTATTTTATTTGTTTACAGTTTCTAGAATCCTAAGATTTGAAACACTGTAGACATTTGGATCTGACTGTATATGATGATAAACGGTTTGGTGAGTTCTAGATTTGTTCTTTCTCGTATCTGAGCGCTGAATGGAGTTCAGGACGAATATAAAGTGAATTATCGTAATGAGACTCATGTGAGAGACAGACAGCAGATTTACTAAATACACACAGACGGAGAGAGAGAGAGAGAGAGACAGTCGTGTGGTTAGTTCCTGTTTCTTCTGATTGATTCTGGAGACATAAAAACAGCAGATACCTGTGTGTGTGTGTGAGAGAGAGTGTGTGTGTGTGTGAGAGAGAGAGAGAGAGAGAGAGAGAGAGTGAGTGTGTGTGTGTGTGTGTGTGTGTGTGCGCGCATCAGTGCAAACTGATGATATTTGTCTGCTGATTACTGTTTGATTTCGGTCTCATTTTCTGTAAAACATGTGAAACAAAAAGCATGTTAGCACTTAGCATTTTGTACTCTTTATTTATAGAGTTTTACTCATTCAGCTGACATGTTGAAATGACCAGAGATGACCATATTAATAATGATTAGTACAAATTATTGTGATTATTATAAACAACTTTGTTTCATTTATTTTTATCCATATATAAAAGGAGCTCCATCTCTCGATGCACAATATTTGATAAGATGTTTTTGTTTACAGTAGATTACAGATTATTTTACGGCGAGACACTACAGGTGAAACAATATTTTCATGCACAGGTTCACTTTTCGTCTGTTTTCTTCCATATCTCGTCTCTTGTTTCAGTCTAGTTGAAAGAAAACATCTAAAATACACATCTGTTTGTGTCTGTAGATTTCAGTTCCAATCCATATCTGTCAAGAGCCCTACATTTGTTTGGTTTTTTCCAATAATCCATTTCACTCTTATGTCCGTCACTGACATGCAGCACTAATATATATCTGCTACACTAAATAAATACATTATAACAATAAAGCTCCTTCTATACCCATCCATCATTGTTATAAATTGGCCAGATTTTAGAGTGGCCTTTTATTGTGGCCAGCCTAAGGCACACCTGTGCAATAATCATGCTGTCTCATCAGCATCTTGATATGCCACACCTGTGAGGTGGATGGATTATCTCGGCAAAGGAGAAGTGCTCACTAACACAGATTTAGACAGATTTGTGAACAATATTTGAGAGAAATAGGCCTTTTGTGTGCATAGAAAAAGTCTTAGATCTTTGAGTTCAGCTCATGAAAAATGGGGGCAAAAACAAAAGTGTTGCGTTTATAATTTTGTTCAGTATACATATATACACAGAGTTCTGGCATGAAACTCTAGATGGCGCAGTCCAATAGTTCTAACTCAATCTGACCTAATGACATCATTATCACATGGCACAGCTGACTGGTTCTCTCCTGTATCGATAGCCAATGAGCTCGCTGCTCTACATTCAAATATATGACTAGTGCTTGCTGTAGCAGTTGCAGTGTGCTTCAGAAACCCTCCACCTTCCCCAGCTCCACCTGTATAGATCTGCTACGAGGTGATTCATGTATGCTATTTGGGGTTTATTCATATGTGTTATATGTGCAGCAGCAGGAGAGAGTGAGTGTGTGTGTGTGTGTGTGAGAGAGAGAGAGAGAGAGAGAGAGAGAGTGAGTGTGTGTGTGTGTGTGTGTGTGTGTGCGCGCATCAGTGCAAACTGATGATATTTGTCTGCTGATTACTGTTTGATTTCGGTCTCATTTTCTGTAAAACATGTGAAACAAAAAGCATGTTAGCACTTAGCATTTTGTACTCTTTATTTATAGAGTTTTACTCATTCAGCTGACATGTTGAAATGACCAGAGATGACCATATTAATAATGATTAGTACAAATTATTGTGATTATTATAAACAACTTTGTTTCATTTATTTTTATCCATATATAAAAGGAGCTCCATCTCTCGATGCACAATATTTGATAAGATGTTTTTGTTATTACAGATTTACAGATTATTTTACGGCGAGACACTACAGGTGAAACAATATTTTCATGCACAGGTTCACTTTTCGTCTCCATATCTCGATATCTCGTCTCTTGTTTCAGTCTAGTTGAAAGAAAACATCTAAAATACACATCTGTTTGTGTCTGTAGATTTCAGTTCCAATCCATATCTGTCAAGAGCCCTACATTTGTTTGGTTTTTTCCAATAATCCATTTCACTCTTATGTCCGTCACTGACATGCAGCACTAATATATATCTGCTACACTAAATAAATACATTATAACAATAAAGCTCCTTCTATACCCATCCATCATTGT